AAATAACTGAACGTAACGTAATCTAATACCAATTTTCTATATAGAAGACCCGTCAGGCCTTCTATATACCGCTGATGCGGAATTGGCCCTTAAGGCGGATCTAATGTATACTGATCCTTTCGCGACTCCCGAGCACTGAGACCATGTGCGGCAAACATGAGCTTGGTGGCCGGACCCTCTCGGGTGCCCAGCCGGCGAGGAGAACAAAATTTATTTTGCCAAATCGGCGGCTGAGTGACCGAGCACACACATATCTTTCCGGGCATGAAGTCGACAGCCCAGGCTGTCGACTTCATGTGCGGAACACACACGCTATTTTTATTATTTTTTATGTTAGGGACTTCAGTCCCGAAGTGCAGTCCGAGTAAAATCAATAGAGTCAGTAAAGTAATTAGGGAGAAAAGCCTAGATGTGGCTACCCCTACAGTTAGGTGGCATAACCACAGTCATTAAAAACAGGAGATGTCTCATTACCCAGGGCATCTCAGGTAACTTTCAGATCATAGCCTCCTCACGTCAGTCGTACGATGAGGAGGGGTGGAGGAAAAGCCTGGGGGTCAGATAGGTACCACTTCAACTAGTGAAGTGTGACCGGTTTGATCTTCGGACATGTGGATCCCATTCTTATATTGGTATACACATGTTCCTAGGGGTAGGGTTGATCGCTTAGCGTGATTGTGTGTGTGTTTGTTTTAATTATTGAAAAGCGGTATCAATAAATTTTCCGTTTATGAAAAAATGTAGTTGTTGAGCAATAAAAAAAATAATACTCTTTTTTGTTTTAATTATTTTTATACCTCATTTTGTTTTGTTATTACTTGTAACAAATTATTATATGGCCCGCGACAACATAAAAAGTTTTAGTTTTGGCCCTTGAGGCATTGCAAGTTGGACACCCCTGTTATAGAGCCACAGCGGTTGATATTTTAAATGAGACTTTATGGCAACTGATATCTCGTTTAAAAGGTAGTAGAAAATACTTTGCTATAAAATAAATCACGTAGATAAAGCCAAATGCAAATTTTGTGAAAATGTAAAAGAAACGATCAAATATTTTTCAACTTGAGGGTAATAATTATTAGAGCTCATAAGCCTCTTGAATAATTAAAACGTGTCTTTTTAGAGTCTGTTGAAAAATATATCAATTTTTTCAGTTTGCATCATGGAAAGCTCACAAGATCTAACAATTATTTTAACCATTTGGAGGTCGCGGTCATAAAGTGTACTGTATAGTTCGCGGTGTATCTTAGAGATATGTTCGTTTAAGTTTTATGTTTCAATAAGATTGAATAAAAACTGATCTAGATCGGAAGAAACGTTTGTTTTGAACATAACTAATTAAAAAATAAGCGGATTTAAATTAATTTATGGTCAAGAAAAAAATAAAATAAATGCAATATTAAGAACATAACAAAATAAAAACATGTAATAACTATTATTATTGTTACTAATCCCATGCAAAAATAACCCAAACACATAATTAGATTTAGCGAAACTTAATCCGATTCATCAGCGGAAGGATTAGTAAAAAGGGGTTATACGAACTGTTGCAAACAATATTGCTATGTTCAAGACATAAAAATGTGGTACAACATTTACAGTAGTATTTGGACAAACGAGCGTCTTTGTCACATAGTAAGAATAACACCTTTTCTTTATCTTTTATTGCCCGTTTTAGCAACTGAAACTGGATCTGCCCCACTGGTTAAACTTTCCTCCTTATGTTTTTAATGCTAAAGCTGCAATAGTCTGTGAATACCTGTAGTAGTATCTCATTGACGTTTTATTTACTCTGACAATGGTTGACTACAAAGGTTTCGAAGTCTACGTCTTATTTTTGAATTCTGATTTAGCATGTGAATGGACTGTGTGTTGATCTCAGCAACGTTCAAGACGACGTAAAATATTACCATATCTTCTTCTGTTGTCTCTGGTTATATTATATGAACCAACCATCTGAATTTACTACGTCATCGAAAGGAATACTAGATACCAAAATTACGTTTTTTCGAGATTTAAGAAAGTTAGATTGTATTGGTCTGTTTGCCGTACTCACTAATTCAGGTGATAGTTGACGTTTGTTTCTTCTGACTGTCCCTACATATGATAGTCTCTTCTTTTTCAAATAGCTTACGAGAGTTAGATCGGTGAACCAATTATCAGCAGTGATATTTCGTCCTGAACTATAGATAGGTTCAACTAATCTCTTGACCACATCTACTGGTTTATTCTTGACACGAAATGGACCTTCAGGTTGCAGTCCTACATAAATTTCCATGTTGCTTGTGAAAAATAGCTTATAGTCCCATATTTGTCAGGTTTTGATGGAATATGTTGCCCAAATCCACATCTACCTTTTTTGCAATTTTCTACAAATACTAAAAATATCTGTCTAACAGCTGACAACCTATCAATTTTTAGTCGATTTGGTCAAGTCGTCTTGTCGTCGAATCTTATACCGTTGTGGATAATTTTGAATCTTTTCTTTGACATTTTAAGTCTAAATAATTCAATTTCACTACTATCTTTTGCTTATAAATGTAGTAAATGCAATTTTAGTCGATATCGGTTTGTTTAGTATTTCTTTCTCTGGAATATCTACTTGAAATAAAGTCTTTATATATATATATATATATATATATATATATATATATATATATATATTTGTATAATGTAAATTTAAATCTAAAAGTTCTCCTGACACGAAACAGCTCCAGCATTCATATTCAGTTTTTGCGTTTTTTGCAGTATTCCTTACTAGAGGCAATTGACACAGAATATGTTGTTTCGATCGCCAAATTTTATTTTCGTAAGCTGACTTTTTTCCCCACTTTGTTACTTTGCCCAGAATAAAAAATACTGCCCATTTTCATAAATGTTCTCTTTGCTCTGCTCAGTAAAAATGTCTTTTTCGTTGTTCGAATTTTGTGATCGCTCCTTGACATAACTGATTTCGTCCAAGCCACTTTCGTCTTCAAACTTATTTCTTTCATTTCCATCGTTAGAATCGAAAAACACACTCTGAATATTTTCAACATCCTTTGAATCATCCAACTTGTATACCTTTTCGACACTCTGAATATAGTATAGATCAGAACGAAATAAACACGAAAAAATATTGGTTCGATCTGCGAGGTCGCGGTACCTGTCAGATACAACTGTGTTTAGTTATGACAAACGTTCACTTCTCAACCTCAAGAAATTACCTGAAAGACGACGTTTTGTGTTTTCCAGTCCTAAGACATAAACATGGCTGCTACTACTATACTACTATATTAACACTCCGTTAGTCGCTAGGAAAAACTGAGCATCAAGAGTCGCTACGATGTGTGGGACCGACAATTAAAAAAAATAGTTATTACTATCAAATTCATACAAATATTTTGTAGTGTATATATGAATGACTGAAAAATATTTTTGAAAATATTTTATTGAAAAACAACACACAAACTGAAAAACATTAATAGAACAACATATTGTTATTTGTAATTAAAATTAAATTAAAGAAAAGTTCTTCAAATTTTTTAAATGGAAAAACAGTTCTTACTTTTTAGTTAAGAATAATATAGATTCACTGAAAAAAATAAATGAGTTTTTAAGAAAAATATAAAGTAAAGCATTTCACTTGATTTAGCAATTGAGAAATTTTATGTTGTAGCGTCACTCAGTCAAAGCTGACATATTCCAGGAATATGTTGCAGGTACATGAATATTTTGCATTTTATGCATGAAAAGCGAGTATATCTGTTCTTTTTGGTAGTACAAAATGCACAACGACCCTTTGTTTGATTTCTTTCTGGAATTACAGTACATCTGTGATGCCGCAAATTTCGCGAATTCGACATTTTAGGCAACTGGCAGATTTGTAGTAGTAACGTGACTTTCTGAATAGGGTTATATAAGCTTGTTTTCAAGGTTTGTAACAAAGCGTTATTCACAAAATACTTACAAATCTCACTGGGAGTCTTCAAGTCACGTGTAGGTTATCTCGACATCGGCAAAGATACTACGGAATTTTCTTTCTTGTTTTAACATTTCTCTTCCATCTGGTAACTTCATGTTTTTCAATAATCGCTAAGGTATTACTTCCACTTTCTCCTTCCTTGTCTATGACATCTTATTTCGATTCAATTTCGCCATCACGTTCCCCAATTCGATCGATTTCGTTTTCATTTCTCTCATCGTCAAAACAATTTTCATCGTCGGTAGGAACCATTTCCTATAGTTCCAACAGGCGTTTTTGTTCGGCTTTAAAGGACATCTATAAATAACAATTGACAAAATCTTACCAAAAAAAGCAATAATAGGATGCTAAATATTTAACTCATCTGAAAGTTATGCCAACAATTAATAGCTACACCGTTAGTTGCTACGGACTCTCGCACCGAAAATAACTACAAAACTCTCACAACTGTACCCAGGTAGGTAAGAATATACAATAACACGAGTTTAGTTGATAGGAAGAGGTACAGAAAGTGGCGATAGAAAAATAACAGTTATTTGTAAATCCCGAATAAATATCGGTGTGTGACACCGATAGCGACTAACGGAGGGTTAATGTTATAGAAGGCTTTGATATAATTAATAAAACAAAAAAAAATGTAAATAAATGAACATTCTTCGATAATAAGCTATAGTTTTAAACGGATATATTTTTCGGTACCCTACAAAATATTTGTCTTGTATCAATTTGAACAGCCGCGTCCGACGGAAGGTTAAGGAAATCCAGATATATTGTACAAAGTATTAACCGTTTAATGAAATATTTTTATTACATATTTTTCAACTGTACACTTTAACTGGTTAAATGGATGGATTTTTCGTGTTATAATATATTCTTGTTAATCTGAATTGTGCCTCGCTTTTTTTATTATTAAGTAGTTTTAAAAAGATTAGAACACCTTTATATTTTGACTTTTATATAGAAAACAAACAAATTAATTAATTTTGCTATAACAAAATATCATGTATAATTAAATTATAACACTGTTATGTCACAGACACCAAAACCTTGGTTGGACTTATGGAACGGCCCCAAAGAACCTACACATTACTTGAGAATATGCATGACTAAGATAATTGCCTTGTCAAAGTGGAAAGAAGAAAATATTAACCGACTATTGAATAAACCCATAAACCTATCTGGGTTGTTTCATCCAGAAGCTTTTATTGCATCATACAAACAGGATTTTTCAAAGTAAGCAAAAATTGTTTAAAACTTATAACGCTATTATAGTGATTCCTCCCTCTAGTTATTGTAGTTTTAACCTATTAACTATAGAATAAAAGTATTACTTAATTTGTTAAAATATCTGAGTTTAATCGTACAATTTAATTTTACTTTTTTGTCTTAATTTTTTTAATACAATTTTATTAATTTAATCGTCATTTTCATTTGTTGTTAACACTGGATTAGCCCTGATAGAAATATTAGATCTCTTCTTGATTCCCATTATAAATTATTCACCTGTTTGTTTAAATATGTGGTTTGGTATCTGTTTGCCATATAAACGTTTTAATTTATTTTCATTTGCAATAGCTATATTGAGTTTTTATAACGATAAGTTTTATAAAGACAAACTTTGAGAAAACTAAACTTATAATAAATCTCGTAATGAGTGGAAATATAACTATTGACAATAATAACATACAACAAACAGACACTTACAAATATCTGGGACACGAAATCAAAATAAGCAGAGACAATCAAACACATGAAATACAAAGGCGAATAGGCCTAACTTGGGCAGCATTTGGCAAATTAAGCCATATTCTAAAACGTTCAATTCCCATGCGTCTCAAGCGAAAGGTTTATGACCAATTTGTTTTACCTGTACAAACTTATGGAGCGGAGACTTTAACACTCACGCAAAAATCTGCGAATAAACTCAGAGTTACTAAACGAGCCGTGGAACGTGCAATGCTGAACGTGAGCCTTCGAGACCACATAACAAACCAATAAATCAGGCAAAGATCATGTGTTCAAGACGTCATCGAAAGAACCACGTCGCTTAAGTGGAACTGGGCAGGACACTTAGCCAAAGCACAAGATGGACGGTGGACAAGACGTATTATGGAATGGAGGCCCAGAAAATATAAAAGAAGCCGAGGACGACCACCGACTAGATGGACCGATGATATAAAACGTGTAGCGGGAAACTGGCTACAAGCGGCCCAGTGCAGAGAACACTGGAAAGATCTGAGGGAGGCCTATTTTCAGCAGTGGACGCGATTGGCTGATTGATGATGATATGGAGTTTTATATATTTTTTTACATGACTGATATATAACCACAACTAACGCTGGTCTTAAATTGTTTTATGTACCCAGTCTTTTAACTTTGTTTTTTTGACGTCATTATAGTGTTAACTGATTCTACATATCCCAATTTTATTGATAATTTACCAACTTAAATGCAGTGCTGTACAAAATTAGAGGAGAAATACTTGAATCATTTATCCATTTTAAAAAGCACGATATAAAAACAAAACAACACAAGGGAGATTCAAAGGAACTCACCGAATTCCTTCACTCATGACAACTTCAGCACTCTCTGGCTTTTTCGACAAAAAATAAAAAGATAAGAATAAAAAATATATATTAACAAATTCTATTGGATTCTTACTTGGTTAAAAAGGAACCTACAGACCAAGTCGTAAGACTCTAGGACTTCCGCAAGAAAAAGACAAGTGCAAAAACATGAGAAGAAAAAGAGCTGGTAATTCTAAATTCAATGTGCTTCTTACTTACATCAAAGGAACCCTTTGTAATAATATTTCACTTTAGACTGCAAGATCCCTTTGTTCATAACCTGGTTAACCATACTTTCATTTTTACATACACTTCATCTAATTTATATAACGATGCACGTCATCGGCGTCATAGCCTGTGACGTCATATGATACCAACACGAAATATTTAGGGTTTAGGTGTGTTCTTTTTAGAATCACTTTACCGAGTACACTGGCATTACAGCCACTAGGCATATTTTATTATATACGCGTTGAAATAATATTTAAAAATTTCTATTAATGTTAACTTAAAGAAATACACAATAATATGTTTCATTTAATTTGTATAAATCCATTATAAAGAGTTTTTATCAAGAACATTTGTTCGGAACACACTGTAACTGTAATCGAACGAAGGTAAAATTTTGGCATAAATTGGTAACACTTATTTGACAGTTGCGGTGTTGACACTTTTTGTACTTTATTATTTTAAATTTTAAAGTGAATACCTCTTGTTTTATATTTATACCTATTTAATAAAATCTGTTCTTTTTAGAACAAAATTAGTGTGTTTTATTTCAAAAATGTCACGTAATAATTTAAATAGTAGTTGTAAAGAGATGGTAATACTTTTGCAATAATTATGTGACCTATTTGATTTAAAATGGAGTCATAATTTTTTTATACTTTGGCAACTATGTCAACTTCGATCTCTGACGTAGATAATGACGTAAGTCGTTATCTAAATTAGATGAAGTATACCTACATTTTAAATTAGAAGAATACATTGATAATAGGTTACCAGTCAAAAAGTGGCTGCAAATATTTTTAATTCAATTGTTAGTAATTAATTTCTGAACAAACATTTTATTTTTTCATTTATTTTTTACATAAAAACACTGGAGAAAACAAAACCACCAGAAGATAATAGTTAAGTTTTTGCATCGGTCATAAGAGGCCATTGTCTTAATACAGATAATACAGTGTGTAAAAGCCAAATGGAATAAAATCATTATTTAGGTTACTGTACATATTAATAAAAAATCCCGAAACACGTCAAATTTAAATTATAAGTTGACATTCTTTAACGTGAAAATACAACCCCTATCTTTAACCCCCTTAGAATGACTGGTACAACCCCCATTTTTTAAAATAAGAAGTATAGGCTTGTGATATATCGTTTGAAACGTCTTTTCATTTTCCATTCAAAAATGTTGTCGCTTTCAAGTTTATTAAGATTAATTAAGATAAAATAAATTAAAATCATGTGGTTACCGAAATTCGGTACCATACAATCAAAAACTAAAATGTAACGGAACACGTAATAACATGTAGATCACGAAAAATAACTATGAAAGTTAATGAAGTAGATGTTATAAATGTTCACCGCGAACATATAGGCAACATGCTAATCTCAAATAAAACTGTCTTCTAACATTACTTAACATAACAGGCGTGATCGACCTAATCGCAAGCGTTATTCGTTCTTTTAAGTCATTTAAATCAAAAGGTTGAGTTTTTTACACATGGCTCTACACATATCCCCATAAAAAGAAATCTAATAATGTAAGATCAGGTGATCGCGCTGGCCATTTAATCGATCCTCGCCTTCCTATCCACCGATTGGGAAATATTGTATCGAGGTACTGCCGGACATTAAGTTGGTAATGTGGTGGTGCTTCATACTGCTGAAACCATATCGTATTCGCTGGAACTTGAAGGTTTCCTGAATCAGGATATAAATTTGCCAACGTTGGATGACATAATTTTGATGTAGTGCCAAATAATTGTTGCCATTAAAGTTGCCTTTAATAAAAAAGGGACTAATTTATATTGTTTCCTACAATCCCTGCATAAACATTAACCTTTTGAGGATATTGAGTGTGTTCTTATCTCATCCAGTGAGGATTTTCCGTGGCCCAGTAGCGGCAATTTTGCCGATTAGCATGACCGTTAAGTGAAAAAGTACACTCATTAAAAAACATAACGTCTTCTAATTGGATAATATTGTTATCCAACATGTCCATCATTTGCTCATAAAAAAAAGTTCTCCTATCAAAATCGTCTTTCATGAGCTTCTGAGTAGGTATTATCTTCTAGGGATGCAATTTATTTTCTTTTAATACGTTTACTATCGATGTATGGCTAGCATTGAATGTAGTGGATGGCTGTCTACATGATGTATGTGGATTTTCCTGAAACTTAAACAACACATCTAATTTGAGTTCATCCCTCAGTGCATTGGCAGCTGTTTTTTTTTATCTGCCTTACATGACCAAACTCGCGAAACTGCTTCTCTATTTTACTTATTGTTTTTTTCTCATGAAATAGGCGAGTTACTTCCTGTTGTGTTTGGGTATTATCTCCGTAACCAATCATTTGTAAAACTGATATTTTATGCATTTCCGTAAATCTAGTTCATCTAGTACTTAAATTAAAATACTGACAACTTAAATAAAACAATTTACTAATGCGTGTTAAAATAACGTGGCCACGGAAATTTTTTAAGGTTTTTGATGGTTACCATCTAAAAAACCATATTGCTATGGTTTTTGTTCACTTTCTCATTATCAATACCCAAACGGAAACTAAGTTTTGAGTATATTTTAGCGAATTTCGGTAACCACATGACTTTAATTTATTTTATCTTAATTAATCTTTATAAACTTGAAAGCGACAACATTTTTGAATGGAGAATGAAAAGACCTTTCAAACGATATACGACAAGCCTATACTTCCTATTTTAAAAATTGTTCCTGTCATTCTAAGTTGAAAGTAGGGGTTGCATTTTCACGTTAAAGACTGTCAAGTTATAATTTAAATTTGACGTGTTTCACGGTTTTTATAAGTACAGTAATCTAAATAATGAATTTATTCAATTTGGCTTTTACACACTGTATAATTTTATTGTAAAATGGTTAGTCAGTCGCTTACACTATGAAGAGTGAAAATAACAAAAACGAGAAGAGAACTATATACTTAGAAAAGAAACACAATAATTACAAATATTACCTTCAAATTTCAAGTTTTAGGACTTCAAAGAGTATTTGGATATGACTCTTTGTACATCCTGTATATTTTGGAGACATTGAGTTTGTAAGATAAATACAATAAACACCGTATTTACCTTGTTGAAAATATTTAAAAGTAATAAATTGTATTATTATCTTTTATACTTTGAAACTTCATTGTTTTTTATCACCACCTCTTAAAACTTCGTTGTTGTCTTGTGAAAACTCTAGTTTCAGTATGCATTTCTCCGGTACGATGATAACGATGAAGGAGTCCCCTTATTCGTCCTTTCTTTATCAAAAGTATTTTTTTAAATGTACTTCTGCACACGGGTATAATTTGTACTTCACAAGTTCTAACAAAATATGTAAATGATATTAATCGTCCATTACCGTGTCCATTCGCAATACGTTTTCGTTGAATTGGAATTGCAATATTTAACTTAATATAATAAGTGATTAATTAATATAATAATTGATTAAATCAAAATATGTACAACAAGAATACCATACAAGCTATCAAAAAGCATATGAACTATCAAAACGTGTTGACCTCCAACTACACTAGCGCCGCCAAGCGGGAGCAACAGCGTACATAGCTGACATTATGGGTACAGATTTACAGTGCGATAACAATAATAATAATACATGCTAGCAAATTATGGACGCTACATAGTAATCACAGGAAGAGAAATTAATTTTTTTTAGAAATATTATAAGAAAAACTATGTATGACAGTCAGTGATTCAAGATGTTAGAGGAATGGCAAGAAACAAGAAGGTATAATAACCACAATAAAAATAAAAAACTTAATGGTTTGGACACAATATCTTAAGGTTGGATAAAAATAAGTAACTGAAAAAAGTACTAGAAAGTAAAGGATGTAGAAAAGTGATTAGAAACTAAAATGGATAATGACGTAATGTTATGCGGATTAGGCAAAAACTTAAAAACCTTACCTAACCTAATTTAATCTAAAATAACAATTTACATAAAGTTATATATTATGTTGGTGTATAAAATTATTATAATACCAATGAAAACTATTCTTAATTGTTAATTTTAAAGTATCTCTAAAAATTTAAAAATATTAAAAATTTTGTAGGAACAATGATGTACCGTTGGATGAACTTAAGTTATGTACCAGTTGGAAGCCTAAAGAAAATTGTTTAATTTTATCTGACTTGCTGGTTGAAGGAGGTATTTTTGAAAATGGTGTCATCAGACAATGTACAGCGAATACAGAAAATGTTACAACTATTCCTAACTGCTATTTAGGTTGGATAAGAAAGGTAAGTTGATTATTTTTTAGTTGAATTTTACATACTTATATTAAATATTTATGCAAGATTAAATTAAGACTTTTAAAAATATCTGAAAACACCACTTTTAATTAGGTCATCAGTGTTGGAATAATGACGTAATCGACGATTTTATTTAAATACAAACTAAGTTCATGCGATGCGTCATTTAAAAGGCCTTTTAATAGCCTTTGTAAAGATGTATCATTCGGAGATTTATTTCTACAGGGTTAACTAGAATTATGAAACCCGAAAAACACAGAAAGCACATATAACTCCCGCGGAAATTATAAGCGTAATGGCCGCCAAAGTAGGTGGCGCCTCTGTACACTAACCACTCTGGTGGTGAAGATTTACGAGATAGTGGTTTTACTTTCCCAGTGTGGATTTGTATTAGCCCAAGTGTCTGAAAAGGCTGGGATAGGCCGAAATAATTCATAACACTTTATTGATACCGATTCGAGTACGGGAAGTTTAACAAATTTGTGTTCCTAGGCTACATGTTTGGCCATTTAATTCAACAAAGCGATAGCAGCAGAAGATTTAATCTTTTACACATTTCGCATACCCCATAGGATAGGAAACTATATGAATATATCATTTTCGTTAATGGCCGCCAAAGCAGGTGTACGCTAACCACTGCGGTGGTGAGGATTTAGTAAACATTCGTTGGACTTTCCGAGTTTGAACTTTTATCAGCCCATGTGTCTGATTAGGAACTTTAACGAATTTGTTCTCCTAGGACCTATATTTGGCCATTTAATTCAACAAAGCGACAGAAGCTTTTGCTAGAAGATTTAATCTTTTACGTATATATGGTATATTAAATAACTTAATAAAAATAATAAAACATTTTCAGGGACAAGTTTTGCAGGAAGAAAATAGTATCGATGTACCGTTGTATACATCAGCAAGTAGGGAAATGAAAATTATCTCTCTACAAATACCATGCGAAAAGAATGAGAAAGACAAATGGTTACTATCTGGAGTAGCATTCTATTTAGAATAATAAATCATTTTTTGTTACAACACTTAACCACTTATATCATATAATATTTTCTTCACATTATTTTACATGCAGCATGTTAAAATTTTAAATAAATGTACAAAAAATGTATGTGTTAAATTATTTGTTGTTTAAAATATTTACCATATTTTTGCACGTAGTGTTTGTAGGCTTTTGATTAAAATATTTAGGTTCTATTTTTGGCCGGTACTGACGTGTCATCTTCGGAAAGGCAAAGCAGTGCTCCTACTGTTTTGAAACGTCAGCTGTATATATGTTACATAAGCAGTGGTGATAAAACTTTCTGTGGTACACCATTCTCCCGTGTTTTAACTTCGGGCAGGACTTGATCTATCTGGACACTAAACGACCGGCTGACGTGGTACGAAGATTTTAATTTCATCATAGTGTTATTATGTCTTGAATGGCACTATGATGAAACTGGCAATATCTTTTAGACAGGGCTGGTCTAAGGTACTCTTTAAAACCCGCTGTGATATAGTCTTTGAGACTAAAATTTCGGTGTAGTTTAGAGTCTAAGTTGAAGTTCTGGGATTACTTGTAGACTTACGTACAGTGTATCATCATTACTTAGCCCTTTTCGTCCACTGCTGGACATAGACCTCCCTAATTTTTGTCCATTTTGCTCTATCTTGAGCACTTTTCATACAATTTTTTGACATTTTCTTGAGATCGTCAGTCCAATGAGTTGGGGGTCTTTCTCTATTTCTTTTGTCTAACCTCGGCCTCCACTCAAACAATTTTTTGGTCCCTTTTCATCATTGATTCGGGCGACGTGTCCGATCCAGTTCCATTTTCGTGTGGTAATTCGGGAAATTACATCGGTAACTCCCGTTCTTCGTCTTAAGTTTTTATTTCTAACTCGGTCACGAAGCGATATACTTAGCATCGACCTTTCTACTTTCCTTTGAGCTATTTGCAGCGTTTTAGAACTTGTAGCTGTCAATGTCAAAGTTTCGGAACCATAGGTCATCGCAGGCAACACACATTGGTCAAATGGTTTACCTTTTTGGTATATCGCTTTTTAAGATGTCTTTGAGTTTTCCATAGGCTGCTAATGCTATAATGAGAAATCAAGGTAGATACGAGCTATTTCAATGCATTTTAGAAAATAAAATTGAAGGAAAAAGGGCCCCAGGCCAAAGAAGAGTATCCTGGCTTGCTAACCTTAGAGCATTGTACAAAAAGACCTCAACACAGCTATTTCGTATAGCAGCCAACATCTCACCATAGCCAAAATCATCGCCAACGTTCGAAACGGACAGGCACCCTAAGAAAAAGAAGCCCATGCTAGGTTTATTCTCCTTCGGAGTTCGCATGTTTGGTTGTCTCTTGTAATGTTTATTTCGTGTCCAAGATATATGTATTTTTCCACCAGCTCTACTTCGTTGTGTCCAATATTAATTTTTCCGCTAGGTACTAGGTTTGTCATGAATTTTGTTTTGGAGATACTGTCAATGTTCAGGCCTTTCTCTTTCCAGTTAAGTTTTTTATAAGCATATTCTAGTACTGCGCTAAACAAGTTAGGTGATAAGGTATCACCCTGGCGGACTCCCCTGCCGATTGGAATAGGATCCGTGTTTTCATGTAGTTTCACCGACATAGTTTCGTTCTTGTATGTATTGTAAATTAACCCTGTATATCGGTTAATCAATGCGGCATGCTTGTAGTGCTTCTAGAATTTCGTCAATTTCTACCATGTCAAAGGCATTATGGAAGTCTACAAAAGCCAGAACGAGTGGTCGATTGTATTCGATAGCCTTTTCTATTACCGTTTTAAGGCTCTGTAGGTTTGTAAGGCTCTGTAAGGTAGATTTGTTCCAAATCTGGTACGAAATCCTGCTTGCTATATTGGCTGGTAGAAATCAAGTTTTTTCCCAGGACGATTCGTTACTATTCTTGTAATTTACAGTGTATACCAGCTTTTTATCGTTTCTATGGATTTTTTGAATTTGAATATTGAATTTTGAATAAATATGATATATTTTCGTTTCCTTCTTCTTGCTGTTTGACTTAACTTACACTTTTTCCTACATGTTTCTAGAACTCATCTCTGACTTGTCGGTTAAGTCAATTTACCATGTTTGTGTCTTTTGGTTCCTTGTTCTTCTAATACTTTATTTTGATATCTTATTTTAGCTATTTACTTATCTTAGTTCTTGGAATCTTCCATTGACTAACGTAGATATGTTTTTTTTGTACTCTGATGTAACGGTCTTTTTATTATATTTTAAAATTCCAGAACTTTTGCCTCTATTTCCTCTGGACTGTGAATACTTAAAAGTTTTTCTATTTCTTCACTTTTTTCTTATTTTTTTAGTACCCTTTCCGAGGTGTAGAAGGTTATACCTCTCTGGATGTCCCATTATACGGTCAAAATATTGTAACTTTTAAATTTTTATTGTTATTGATATTTATCTATAATAATTTTATTATGGATCTTGTGATGGAAGATTGGAATCTTGTTTACGGTATACTTGATACTAATTTGGCTTTTAATGTGTTTGTTGATATTTTTTCGTATTATTTTAACATTAATTTTCCATTGCAAAATAAACGTATTATAAATGATCGTAAAAAATGGGTGAACACCGAAGTACGCTTATCTAGTAGTAACTTAAAAAACTTGCATGTTTTATCTAGATCCTGTCCGTGTCTTCGTGAATATTACAAGTTAGAAAAAAAGAAACATCCGAAACTTTTATGTTTGACAAAGAAAAATTATTACCAAAATATTATTTCGTCATTAGATAATCCTACAAAAAGTGAATGGAGACTTGTTGCTGACATGACTAATAATGTTGACGATAAAGGAAGGAAAAATATATGCCTAAAATCAGAAGAAAATTGTGTAATAGAGGAATGCCCTATTGTTGCTAACATGTTCAATGTTTTCTTTAAAAATGCTCCAAATGAGGTACGTTCTAAAATTCCCAGTCATCAAAATAGTACTTTGAGGAAACCGCCTTATAATGAAAATAAAAATGTTTTACAATTATATCCTTACACTCCAAATGAGCTGAGTGAATTATTGATAGGAAAATTGAAATCTTCAAAATCGTGTGGATTTGATGAAATACCTCAATTTTTATTAAAAAAAGTAATTCCATTCATACTATCACCTTTAACATTTCTAATAAACTTGACTTTTTGCAATGGTATTTTCCCGGATTATCTAAAGGTGGGAAAAGTCGTTCCTGTACAGAAGAGAGGTGATCCAAAGGATATTAGTAATTATCGCCCAATAACTGTCCCTTCAGTATTTTCGAAAATATTCGAATACTGTTATCTTAACAGATTAAACTCTTATTTATTGGAGAACGGTAGTATTAATAAATGTCAGCATGGCTTTCAGGCAGGTAAGTCTACAAACACAGCAGTTCATTCATTTTATGAGACTTTAACTAACTATATTGATGCGGATGAATGCCCTGTTGGATTTTTTTGTGATCTCAGTAGGTCATTTGACTGTGTCGATCATACCTTGCTCATTAATAAATTAGAAAATATTGGAATAAAAAATATCTCTATAAAATGGATAGAATCCTACCTATCAGAACGTCGTCAGTACGTCTCCTTAACAGATTTATCCCAGCACTCAGAAAATGTTTGCAAATCAGAATATATTTACATTCATATGGGTGTTCCGCAAGGTTCTGTAATTGGCCCAATATTATTTCTTAGTTACTTAAATGATATTATCTCAGTAAAATCTGCTGTACAGTTTACACTTTATGCAGATGATACTGCAATACTTATATCAGATAAATCACAAATATCTCTTGAAAATAAATGTAACGAACTTTTGTGTGATCTTAGTTATTGGTTTTTCTCAAACTACTTACATCTTAATGCGGATAAAACGCATGCTATTCACTTCCACAATAGACAGAAACATCTGATAAATATCGAACTATCAATATATTCTACACAAATTGAAAAAGTTCAATGCCTAAAGTTTTTGGGTTTGTATGTTGATGAGTGTCTAAATTGGAAAAGGCAATGTGATGATATTATTTCCAAAATAAACTCAGCATGCTACCTACTTCGAAACCTCAAAGATACGCTAAGTGAAAAACAGCTAATGATGCTGTATTATGCTCAGGTGGAGTCTCGTTTGCGGTATTGCATAGTATTTTGGGGTACGTCTTGTAAATTCAGTGAAGTCTTTCTATCTCAAAAAAGAATAGTGCGTTGTATTGCTGGTATTTCTCGAATAACTAGCTGTAAGAGTTATTTTACTAGATATACCTAAACTTTTAACTGTACCGTGCTTATATATTTTTGAAGTCTGTGTTTTTATTCATTTAAATCTTGATAAATTTAAAACTAATAGTCAAATTCACAATAAAAATACAAGGCAGAATCAAACATTGCATGTGCCTTTTTCTAAAGGAAATATGCATTTTTACTCACCTGCAATAATAGGTCAAAGAATATATAATAAGTTACCAGAGCCAATAAAAAAAATGTAAAAATATGCAAATATTTAAATTAACTTTAAAAGATTTTTTATTGCAGAATACGTTTTATTCTGTTGATGAATATATTAGTAGTTTGTAACCTTAGGTTTAGCGTAATTTTAGATTTACATTTATATTTAGTAATTTTGTTTTCTAAACTGTGACTGATCCTATACAAATTGAATTTGTCAAAAAGGAAATAAATTGTTATTATTATTATTATTATTATCTATGATAAAAATATTTTTCATAGATATCACAACTATAGGCCTTTAGTTTTTTCATTATTGTTGCTGTAAAAGTGTAGTTCTCCAAGTCATAGAGCAATGTGGAGAATATGTAGCAGCGTATTAATTTGATATTTCTTTAATTTATAAAAGGCTGTTCTAGTTTTTTAAATGCATATTTTTATTTCTTAGCTTATATTCCATATATTGTTAAAACTGTCACCCAAATAGGTGATATTGCGTTCTTTTTCTAACTTTATTCCATACGCTCTGATCCTAATTGGTTGTAAAA